AATGCACGACGCAAGTATCAGTCAATTTGATTGACAGTTTGTTAAGGCAAATACATGACGGTTTTTTTTTTTAAACTTTTCGATTCATCCAAATATTTGATAACATTGAGGTCAAATATCTACCCCCTCCAGAAAGCTGCAACAATAATATAATTCCCCTATGTAATCAATTATTTCATCTCTAAAAACCATCAAAAAAAAAAATGGGGCACGCCATAATTTTGTCTTGGATGCCTTTTGAAATTTACTACTATGACAGGCTTCTCTTAACTACACCTGCCATGCAATTCTGGCTCTAAGCGGTCACTTAAGAGAATAAAACTACATTTTATAGCTCTCTATACGAGATAGTTGATCAAGGAAGCTAAGAAACGTAAACAACATTCGAGATATTTCACAGGAATGGAAAATTTAACGTTTAGGGAGAAGCAAATAGGCGACCTGTTGATGGGAAAACTGTAGCGTTATTTTTTTTGTCGTTTATTACTTTGAAGACTTGCTGAAATCAACAAATATGGTATTTGTACGGCACAAAACATTAATTAGTCTATCATTTGATTGTTTATTTTCATTTTCGCACAGTTAACAATTAAGAAACTGTAACGGGAGAGGATATTTTCAAGTCACATGTCGAGTGCTCATTTCAACAACCGGCGTCAGGAGTTCTCTGATGCGTTATAACTTCGTACAATGGAATTCCTGATCCTATTGAGGCGTTTTAATTGCTTGGGATAAATGTGGACTAATTTGCTGTCTTTGCTTGTCTCATTCATCCCCTGTTTCTAAACCTCACGTCCTTATTTTATTTGTTTTTTCTCATTCAGCTGAGAGAAATGTCATGATAGAGATTCCTCTCATAATATTTATTCTGCTCTGCTTCAACGTATTGAGCACTGTTCCACGCGAAAATCGACTTGCAGACTTCCTATATATATATATATATATATATATATATATACATACATGTTTAAACTAAAAAATGTCTAGTGATAACATAAACGCCATTAAAGCGTCTACATAGAAAGTACTCTCATTTTTTTAATCAGTCAATGCTTAAACGAAACTTTCATTTTCATTCAGCTAAACACTGTATAATTGGATAGAAAGTACTGAAAGTAGTCTGAGAAATCTCAGACTCTTTTAAGGCTAAACACAAAAATGTTTATACTGATAAAGCTCTGAAGGAAATTGCAGAAAAAGGAAATGAAACTGATTTACGAGAGCTGATTTCCAAACTGAAAAAATCAGTAGTTATGAGCTTATCATAGAGTAAAACGAAGATTATGTTTCAGATGCTACTGACTTTTAAAACAACGAGAAAAAGTGATTCTTTAGTTCAGCCGTAAATATCGAGAAGAATATTAAAGGAGGAAGCGTCAGATAAAGAGTAAAACTACATTCGTGCTTAATACACGTGCGTGTGATTGGTTTTGACAGTTTTGTCTTAGCTCGACTTGGACGAAATTACCTGTTTACAAGTGCGGAACTGAAGCGCCTGTTACACATATCATACCGCGATTTGCCAACAATTTTGTTTTTAAAGCTTGAGCAGTGGGAGACAATTGTTTGTTGAAATGGAGAAAGTGTGTTTTCTGATATATTCTGCTCTTCTTGTGCTTACTAGAGCCATTTACGCAAAGAGTGATGCTGGTAAGTACAATCTTTAGACAAACATATACGTTTTTTTCTTCTTTTTCTTTTTGAAAGCTGATTATTAAGTATGCTTGCTTGTTAAGAGAAAAAAGGATGATGCTGTAATTGGCCGGACAAATAATGCTTACCGCACTTTAGATATCGCAATATATTCAGACTGTTCCGGCGAATGCTTGGTCATTAACATGAACGCCGTCCGTTGGGACGGCCGAACAAAACACTGCATGCTAGAATTCAAGTCTTAACTAATTATTATTCGAATCGGTCGTGTCAGTTGATTGTCGTTCAGCAGTCGCAGAGTTCGGACAAAAAGAACTGTACGTTTAGTCGCTGTGTTTTCGTTTTCGAATTTTGTAACAGTCGTAGAATTTATCGTCGAAGCACAGGCACCACGAAACCATTTCAAATTTACAATCGATGCGGCCATTTTTTGGTAAAAAAAAGCCGAAATTAAGGTTTTGTATTGCTCAAGGGAACCGGTGGAAGAAATAGTTCAATAAAATTAATGCGCAACAGGCATTGTGCTAACTCCACACATTAGCGCTTAGGATCCAATATTAAAATAAACCTAAAATGTATTAAGAAGAATACTTATTCGACAGATCGGTAAGCTATAACCTATAAGGTGGAACTTTGAAAATGGGGCAAATATTCTTCGTATGAAGCTAATCGCATAACAAACAAAAGAAAACAAATAAAAAACGAAAAACAAGAAGCAAAATACAAAACAAAACAAGGAAAACAATAAATTAATTCCAAAAAGAGCTGTTCACATTCGAATACAGTTGAATAAACGTTCACCTAAGTTGGTTTTGGATGCTATTTTACTCCAAAGAATATTAGTGTTAGAGCAGTTTGTTTCTGCTTCTAAACTTGCTCCCAAGGTGTTATCGGCTGATAAGTTAAACAGTTAATGGATAGGTTGTGTCTTTGTTCAATTCTACATTCAGCTCCCGTGAAAAACTTCAGTGGTTCCAGCTACATTTTCTATAGTAGCAATGGTAACTGGTACAATTGGGAAAAAAGCAGAACAATATGTGAACAGTCTGGATATAACCTTGTTTCTATTGAGAGTCGTGAGGAATGGAACTTCCTGAATCAAACCATCCAAAAAGAGAATACCATTGAATACTTCATAGGTTTGAGGAAAGATACATCAACTGGAGTGTGGAGATGGTTAAGTGATAACAGCACAGTCAATGCGTCCAATAGAGGATACTGGCCCTGGGCAAAAGGAGAACCTAACGAGGGAAATGGTAAATCTAACTGCGCGCAAATGTACAGAAATTATAGTAGTAACTTTGGACGCTATAATGATGTCAGCTGTACTTCACCCTTATCCCACGCAGGATTCATATGTGAATTCAAAGGTGGAGGAGGTAATAGACCCTTTATTCACATTACACGAAACTGAGAATAAGAATAGGTCAATCGTATTACGGCCCAGTCCTTCTCTCGGAAGTCAGTTACACCATGGAAGATATTGAAAGATTACATAACATAGTATAAACACTAGATAGACCGTGAAGTCACTTTGGATCCTAATAGTGAGCCAATAAGGACTTCTTGTTAAACAATTTTCTGAATAATTTTGATATATCTATCTATTCATTTATTTATAGGTTTCTCTTTTTTTCCATATACTGTTACCATTGATTTGCGCTCCCTTTAAAAATGGATAGACAATCACAATATTACAATGACAAGTGAATTTTCATATTCTTGTCTAGAGAAAAAATCTGCGAAGGCGACGGCGTCCACCATAACAGGTAACTGTTGGCGTTGTAATTGTTGAAGGCTTGACCTATGGAATGAATACTACTTCGAATTCCTATTAGTACGCAAAACACCAACAAGCGCTCAAATCTGCGTTATTAGCGTGTAAGTAAGTAAGGAAGATACTTAATGTTATTAGGGTAACACTCAACAGTAATTTAAATTACTGAAAAACCTGCAGCCCTCTTTAAATAAACTATGACGCAATCAAAAACCTACACCTAATAATAGAAACTAGAGATTTTTTGTTTTGTTGTTTTGTTCTGTTTTTCTTCTGACAACAGTCCTTCTCAGGACTTCACTCACCCGGACGATCAAACTACACTATTACATGAGAAATGAATCGTTGATAATTCCAAAGTTCATAAAGCTCAAGCTCTGGATCGATTGTCTAGTTTCATTATTTAGTTGCTCTCTAGATAGTTGCACTTGATTTTAAATTTATTCTGATCATCAAACTTATTAAACGCTTCACTTTCGCGGTAAATCAAGAGAATTGCAAGATAAACCTCGGGATAGAACGCGTTTTGATCGATTACAAGAAGTATTTATCAAGAGCGACGGACGAGGATGGCATAGTATTTTTCCAAGAAGGAACTACAGGATAGTAGTGATCAAATTTATGTATATTGAATAATGTTGGTTTAACAAACATATCAAAGAACCCTACATCCTTCACTATCCTTCATCTAGTTGTAGTTTTAAAGCTGTTTCCTTTGTGTCAGTCGCGTCAGTACGGGTGTGTTGCATGAGAAAATTGTTGGATTTCTACAATGTACTGACTTTGACTTTGTTCACTGTTTTTGATATGTTACACTTCTTGCATGTTCAAGTTAAAAAGTAAGTGAATTGGAAAGATTCAAAACAGCTTTTAGTTAATCAATGTCACTTTCAGCGGCTAACACCAACATTGAATCTGTGAATCAAATACCCACACCTGAGTATGTTAATGCTTGAGCGGATCCGAAGGCATCTGAAACTGACTGCAGTTAAAATATAACAAGCCATCCAAAAGACCATTGACAAGAAGTTGGATGAAGGGGAAAAATCTTGAGTCGAAGCTTTTTCCTGAACTATGGCGTAAAGTTTCCAAAAAAATACCTGACCTTGTCGACTTCAATCCCGCGGGCAAAGCTTTTAAGATTTGAACATTGCACCGAAGTATCAAACACAATACACCCCTAATTCACTTGAATTAAACCAAAACACTTTGCTTCGCCTTTGATAGTCTAAAGCTAAAGAGAAAAGCTGAAATTAACACTTCGTGTTTTTTTTTCTCATTCTAAATTTTTCTAATTGCCTGTTCTTGATTGCGTGATCTCTCGTCATTCATCCGCGGTTTCCTTCCAAGTCACACCTTGAGTGACTGGAAATTGCGTCGAAATCTTTAATTGGTAGCTCATGCGCAACTTTCTCTTTCGTTGTGTTTCAAACATCCTCATCCAAAGCACTGAACGGTGGATTTAGTGAAGGAGTATGAATGATTTTTTTCGGAGTTGATTTGGTACTGTCGAGAACAGGTAATTGAGAGAGGAATATCAGATAATTCTGAAGTTCATGAAGTGCAAGCACTTAATTGCACGTCGAGGTTCATTATTTGGTTACTCGTGATAGTGGCGTTTGATTTTAGATTTAATCTCAAGCACTTTACTTTCCAGTTGAATTCTTGAGTAAAGAATCTCGGGATAAAATGCTTTTTGATTTATAGGGAAATTTTTTTTTCAAGATTTGTAAGCCGAGCGACGGACGAGGATAAAATAATTTGTAATGAGAAGGAAGTAGCAGTTGGCGTGTGAAATCGTTGATGATCAAATTTTTGTATACTGTGTAATATTGGTTTAATAATCATGTTTAACAACCCAAAATCCTCCTCTAGCTTTCATCCAGTTGTAGCTATATCGCTCTTTGCTTTTAATTCATCGCGAAGGTACGCTGATCTTCATAAAGTTGAAAAACCATTGTAATGTATAGCGTGACTAGCGTGACCAATTGACGTCACGGTAAACTGCACATGACATGCAATTTATAATAAAGTTCGGATATAACGCGCGCTGTCATTGGTTGAAAGAGCGTGCTCCATTAGAGTGTAGAGCATAGAGCTGAGCTAAAGCTGTCACGCCATCTGCCAAATTGGACTATGTCCGACCTTTTCCAGGGCTTTTCTCTAGCTTTTTTTCGTTAATTAAAAGTGAAATTTCGAAACAAGCGAGCCGGCAAGTAGCAACAGAACAACTAAACAAAGGTTTATAAACATGCCAGGCGCCGTAATTGACGTTATTATATCATGAGCAGAGACGAAAATCCTCAAAGAGAAAACGAAATGGACAGTCCGAGTTTTGAAGGTTTTCACGCTCAGTTAGATTGCAAGCTCACGGATGGTAATAAAAATCAAACACAGCTAACACTCGTATAGTATATATAGTTCGAGTTCAAAAACAAAACAGAACAAAACAGGAATGAGAAAAAATATAGCCAAAGTAGCATAACTGTTAAAATTCATACTAATCATGACGGTGTCAGAGCGACTGCGATCATGCTGAGGTCCAACTTGGCTAGCTCGGAGATCGCCAGTGAAGCAAGCCTCAGAAATTACATCGACCGCCCTTTGAGTGAACAACTAAGAGCTTGCTCGGATGTCCTTTCCGATGCGTTGAGTGGTGAAGACCACATCAGTCACTGCAACCGAGTTTTACGGCTCTGTCATCCCGAGCAATCTGACTTTTTAGTATATTACACTGCTTGCTTGTTTAAATGAAAAGCATGTGAATTATAACGAATTGAGAGAGTCTTAGATAATCTAACTTTTAGTGCCCATCTTTCTTGTGCATGTGATTGAATTTCAAGAAGGTTGGAACGTGGTCGCTATTCCCCAGATTCTCCTTCTGTGTAAATTAGGTCTGCTTCAGAGGGGGAAATGATGATAACGATTGTCTCCGAGAAAAATCAAAATTGATTTTCTGCACATAACAGTTGACCCAGTAAACGGTGATTCTCTCTCAGACACATAGAGACACACTTCACTTTCACTAATTAATAGTCCAACCTTTAAGTAATTGTGTTCTTTTAGATGGAGAAAGGCTATGTTCGTGTTATACCTTCAATAGAAGACAATGGACATGGCCAAATGCAAAGGACTCCTGTAAATCCAACAATAAAACACTCGCAGTGATGCAATCAGAGCAGGAATGGCAATTTATTAAAAGTGAGATTCAAAACAAATCACGCAATCGATTTGATGAATGGTTTATAGGCTTGGAAAAAAATTCAACAACAAAGAGATGGACTTGGATCAATGGTAAATCTGTGACTATTGACAAATGGTTTAAAGACTTCATGAGTTCAGTTTGTACGGGATTGATGCTTGAAGACTGAATCTGATATCTTACGCATCCGACGCTTCAAATTACAAAACTTACCACCAAAATGACTTGCCTTTGTAAAAAATGATTGGTAAATTATATTCTGATGTCTTTAGAGAAGAATCATCTCGCCGTTTACCTTAACACACTTCGCAGTACACAACGATGGGCGTTTGGATTGAAAAGGAAGTAGAGGTTTCCATTATGGAAATAGGTCCATGTTTTATTGATCCGTTGCAATGTTTTTGCTTTAAGTTCGACTTTCTCCAATTTTGAACTGTGAAAAACTTTCATTTAGTTGTCGCTATGGAGCTGTATGTCTCATGTAGATCGCGACAGCTTCCCCTATTGATTGAAAATGTCGCGCAACGATCGTTGTCAAACATGGCGTGACAAATTTGCCATCGATCAAATGTGACATAAAAATTTAATTTATCTTAGTTCCGAATTTTTACGAGACTTTTCGGAAAGAAAACCTTTCTCGCAATTTGCCTTAACACAGTGCATGCTGTACAACCCAATATCCCTTTGCTTTGATTGAATAACCAGAACACTTTGTTTCTATTTTAATAATCTAAAGCGAGAGAGAAAAGCTGATATCAACATTTAGTGTTGTTTTTCGTCATTCTAAATTTTTCTCATTGCCTGTTCTTGATTCACATTTTTCTTGAAGCGTGATCTCTTGTCAAACTTTCGCTGTTTCCCCCAAAGTCACACCTTGACTGACCGGAAATTGCGTCGAAATTTGAATTAGTCGTTCAAGCGCAACTTTCACTTTCATGGCGTAATAAACATCCTCATCCAAAGCTTTGAACGATGGATTTAGTGAAGGTGTGTGTATTAATACTTCTTGGAGTTGATTTGTTTCTATCGAGAACAGGTAAGTGAGAGAGGAATATTTGATAATTCTGAGTTAATTAAGTGCAAGCATTCAATCGAATGTGGAGTTTCATTACCAGTAATTTGCTTTCGAGTTGAATTGATAGAAAATGAATTCTTGAGTGGAGAATCTTGAGATTGAATGCGTTCTGATTGATTACGACAAAGGTTTTTAAGACTTGCAAGCCGAGCGACGGACGAGGATGAAATAATTTGCAATGAGAAGGAAGTGGCAGGTTGCATGTTTAACCATTGATGATCAAATTTCTGTATACTGTATAATGCTGGTTTAGTAATCATGTTAAATAACCAAACATCCTCCGTTAGCTTTCATCCAGTTGTAGCTATAAAGCTGTTTGCTTTGTATTCATCGCTGATCTCCACATACTTGCGAAACGATTGTAATATATGGCGTGACTAACGTGACCGATGACGTCACAGATATGCAACGTGTAACGCAACCCAGGCGTGTTGGATGGGAAAATTAATGGATTTATACATTGAATTGACTTTAATTTTACTTTAATCTCTGTTTTTAGTATATTACACTGCTTGCTTGTTTAAATGAAAACTATGTGAATTAAAATGATTTGAGAAAGTCTTAGATAATCTGACTTTAAGCGCTCGAAGGTTGACATTTGGTCGCTATTTCCTGGATCTTCCTTCTGTGTCAATTAAATCCGCTTCAGAGGGGGGCAATGATGATGATGATAATAACGATTTTCTCCGAGAAAACTCAAATATGATTTTCTGCTCGTTACAGTTAACCCAGTAAACAGTGCATTCTCTTACAGACACCTAAAGACACATTTCACTGTCACTAATTATTAGTCTAACTTCTATGTAATTGTGTTATTCTA